AAAAAAAAAAAATCACTGTTTGTTACAATATTTGATAGGGCAAGAGACAAAGGATCTTTGACTATTTCATGGAGAGAATTCTATACTTTAGATAGGGTAATAAAAATAGCTTAAAATCCAATTGTGGACATGTCCCTGTTCTTTCAGGACCTGCTGAGTGTAGCTGCAGTGGCAGTACATTCCCTTTGAAAGCTTCATAGTGATGGGTGAATGTACACCACAGTTCGCTTGCAAGGCAAAGATGCCAGCCTTCATTTTTGAAAAAACCACAGGTGACATAAAACAATGGTATCTAAGAAGGCTTTTCAGGATTCTTCATATGAATATCACAACTGTAGTAGTTACTATTCATGACACACCAAATTCTACAAGTAGAAGTACATTTATGGCCGACATGATGGGACTTCAATAAACCCACTACACATTCATCCAGAACCTCATGGACTCCACTGCTGGGAATAAAAAAGACCTCCTGCTTTCTTTGCAATAAATCTTCAACAGGATTTTTCAATTCCTGCATCTTCAGGGGTTGAAAAGTGGTACCAAGGCAGTGGGGGCAGAAGTTTAGAATGAAAGGTGACAGTGACAGAGGATGCCTGTCCTGCTTCACCTTCAAGCCCCCAGTGCTGAAGAAAGGTCAGCTACGTTTCCTAAGACCTCAGGAAGACTGATTCACAGACCAACAAAGAGCTCACATGACAAACTCCACACATGAAAAACATTGGTACAGGCATCAAAAACGACACTTCAGTCTTTCTAACTTCATGGTAATGAAATTTGGCTGTTTTGTATTCATATATAATATACCCTAGTTGCAAAAGTTCATAATCCTTCTAAAAACTTTGCTGCTAAACAAGAAATTAGAATGTGGCTTATTTTTGGAAATCCTTACTATGTAATTATATGATTTTCATATGTAAACGGTAATTTAAAAAATAAACTTGTTTGTTAAATAGTTACCGCTGAAATTAAGTACTCTGCTAGTTCATGGTGATCAAATAATGAAGCTCTGCAAAAAGAGAAGTAAGGTAATATTAATATAAATACATAAAATAAAGTTAGCACATTTAGAAAGTGGATTTAAGTGGCCATTAAATAATAATATATAATGTTAAAAAACTGGTAACCTTTGAAATGTATAATTGGTTATCAGAAGTTTGCAAGATGTACCTAAAACTCACTTTCAGAGTTCAAAAGATCCCCCTACACACACACCTTCAAGGGCTCATCTTTGACAAAAACTAACAAAGAAGCATTAGTTTTCCTTATTTTTCATGAAACTTAAAATATTTGTAGAGAGAACTGAAGTTCTTCTCATAAGATATCACAACTAGTCACATTAATATTTTTAATTAATAGAAGTTTTTAATCC